AAGGCGCGTGGGGTGGGCGTGTCTAAGGCGAGTGGGCGGGGCGTGTCCGAGGCTAGGGTCAGGCCAGGCGGAGGTGCGAGAGCAAATCCACGTTTCTGCCATCAAAGCCGAGTCTGCGCCCTGAGATTCCGCAGCGTCGCACGGCCAGACGGCGGGTCGAGCCCGCACACTCGAGGCCGCGTGCTGATCACACGGTGGACTCAGCTGCCCTCCCTCCGAGGTTTGCGTGAAAGCCACACAGACGCCGCTGACCGCCCGCAACCCGCAACCCAGAAGTCAGCAGCGCGGGCTGTGGCCGCGGCCCCGCACCCCCGCACCCCCGCGCACTAGTCAGAGAGCGGGGGCGGCGCCACCCTGCCGCTCGCGTCTGCTCCGAGCACCCGCCGGTCCCGCCTCTCTGCGGCGGGTTGCACGGGCGCCGTGATTTCCCCAGCGTCTCCTTGAGAACTCACTCTCCTGAGCTGGCCACTCCGCGTTTTCGGCCGCCCTGCGACTCCAGCTGGGGCCGCCCCGCCCCAGGGGGCCGCCCCGGGCAGGCCCGCAGCCCCGGCCGCTGCCCGGACGGGGCGCCAGCTGTGGCCTGCCGAGTCACGTGGCCGGTTTGAGATTTTGCAGTCTGTGGCCTGCACGCGAGGCCGATCTTGCCACAGAGATGTGGCCAGTTGCGCAAAGATACCTGCTGCCACCGCGTTTGCTGTCAAGGGTCATGCTGTGTGTCTGCGGTTTGTGGGTGCTGTGTGCGCCTCTGTGGGGCGGGGGCGGGTGGAATGTGCCCCAGCTGCAGAGTGCCCCTGGCCAGCGCGGCTGCGTCTACACAGCAGGGAGCAGAGTGAGACCCTGGGGCGTGAGGGGCGCCAGAGCACCCCGTGGGGCTGGGGTGTCCCCACATTGCAGGCCCCGTGGGAAGGGGCCCTCTCCGGCCCCCTGCACCGCTGGGCCCCGGCAGGGACTGCGGCTCCCTCCAGCGTCCAGGGTCCCCTCTGGCTGACCCTCTGGTCTCTTCCACCTGGGGGTGTCCGGGGGCAAACTCTGCCCTCACGCCCTCTGGCTTCAGGGGACCCTGGACAGTGTGGCCGTCATGCCCACGTTCAGCGGGGATACTAAACCACAGTGGCGCTGACCAGCAGGTCCTCGCCCAAGAGAGGCCCCCTAATGCCCCTCACTGAGCCCCACGGCTGAGTCCCTCAGAACCTGGCCCCTTGGCAGGGACCCATGCGCGCAGGCTTCGGGGTCTGGGGACCTCACTTAACAGGATGTGGGGTGCTTTGTAGCGGAGGCAGTGGCTACTGAGGACAGCAGCGCCAGGAGTGGACCTGCTCTGCAGGGTCGCGGCTCACAGGCTGCTCTGAAGAGGGAGCAGCCCTCCGGGCCGGCGGCTGGACCGTGCCAGCGCAGGAGGGCACAGGCCAGTTCGCCCGCCGGACACAAAGCCCACGCGGACGAGGACGCCTGCCAGCCTGCCTCCGGCCTGGGTGGATCGGGGTGCACGCGGCTGCAGGGGCCACGAGGTGGTGGGGTTCCCCTATTTGCAGTAAGAGGAAGGAAGTGCCGCCCACACTCTGCTCGCTGCGCGCTGGAGCTTGGCAGCTTCGCCCCCTCCCTCCGCCCGGCCACCTATGGGCGCGGTGCCCCTCCCCCAGCCACCCGGCTCCGAAGTGCAGCAAGGGCCGGAGGGGCCAGAGCCGCTGCGGGCTGTGCAGGTGGGGGGCGACGTTTGGGGGCCAAAGTGGCCGAGCGACAGAGCTGCGCGGAGCGGGCTGCCACCTCGGCGCCCCCGGGGTTATCCCGTCCCCATTTCCCAGCCTGGGAAGCGCGCTTGGAGCTGCAGGGACTTCCCACAGCGCTGGGCTGCGCGCAGCCTGCTCCAGCCCTCTTCCCAGCCCCCGGCCGGCCGCCCCTGCGCAGGGGTCCCGAGCCCCCAGACTGCTGGGTGGTCCTGCGGGGTCCTCTCCCGGCGGCCCCGCCTGTAGCCCCGCGTCCTGCAGGGGGCGCCAGAGCCGGGACCATCTCGACTGGGGCAGGCGCCGGCTCGGGGCTGCGCGCCCCTGGG